GAGCAGCAGCAAAACTCTCAAACTGCGCAGCCAAGAACAGCAGCAAAGCCTTGAAGTTGCCAGTCTTGTGGTTGGTGAGCAGCAGCGGCAGCAGCAAGCAGCGCCACACTTCTGCTGCTGCTTCCTCCGGCAGCCACGCAGGATTCAGCAGCAGCAGCTGCTGCCAGCAGCGGGCCCCACACCCCAGGGCCTCTCCTGCTGCTGCTGCATGCACAATGGGAGCAACAGCAGCAACAAAGGGGTGCCCCGGGTCCAGGTCCTCTGCTGCACCCCCGGGAGACGAAGCAGCAGCTCCCATCTCTGCTGCTGCTGCTGCTGCTGCTGCTGCGGTTTCGGGCGCGCTGCTGCAGCAGCAGCTGCGGCGGCGGGTGAGAGGCGTGCACGGAGCAGCTGCAGCAGCAGCTGCTGCTGCCAAGGCGAGCAGCGTCAGCTGCAGCGGGGGGCACAGCAGCGAGCGCTGCTGCTACTGCAGCAGTCGTGCTGCAGCAGCAGGGGCTGCTGCTGCTGCTGCTGCTGCTGCAGCGGCTGCTGCTAGCTTCTCGAGGCGCCCCTGCAAGGCCCTCACGCGTCTCTGGCCCTCGCGGCCAGCGTGTTGCCGAAGGGAGCAGCGGCTTCGGGTGCTGCAGCAGCAGCAGCAGCAGCAGAAGCAACAAGACAGCAGCACCTGCAGCAGCAGCAGCAGCAGCAGCTGCTGCTGCTGTGCATCTGACTAGTTAACAGCTACGAAGACCTGCCTGCCCCCAGTGAGTCATTCTGGGGCCTTCCACTGGCGGCCTTTTCACAGAGGGGCTCTCCTTCGGTGTACGTACACCGCAGTTTGCTGCCAGCAGCAGCAGCAGCAGCAGCAGCAGCAGCAGCAGCAGCAGACGGGCGCTGCTGTCCGCGGCCGAGACAGCCGGTGCTGCTGGCGTTGCTGCTGCTTGTTCTGCAAATGAGTTTTAATTTGTTTAAAATTGAATATTATAAATAAATAATTAATAAATAATAAATAAATGAGCAGCAGCAGCAGCTGTGGGGCGGCGCTGCTGGCGTCGGCTGCGAGCCGTGCGGGGCTGCCGACAGCAGCAGCAGCAGCAGCAGCAGCGCCGCTGCAGCAAACAAATAATTAATTAATTTGCAAATTAATTTAATTTGATTAAATGCAAACTCCGAAGAGCCGCAGCAAGCAGCTCGAGGTGTACAGACACCTCACGCCAGCAGCTGCATCGACAGCAGCAGATTGCGAAGCAGTTCATCTAAAGTTGTTCCAAACAGCAAGCGCTGCTGCTGCTGCTGCTGCAGCAGGTGCTGCAGCAGCTGCAGCAGCAGGTGCCGCAGCAGCAGCAGGTGCCGCAGCAGCAACAGTACCAGGTGCTGCAGCAAAGGCAGCAGATGCTGCAGGCGCAGCAGCAGCAGCAGCAGCAGCAGCAGCAGCAGCAGCAGCCAGCTCAGCAGCTTCTTTTGCTGTGCTGCTGCTGCTTTCTCTGTCCCTCTGTCTTTGTTAATATGATGTGCTGGTTTATATTTAAATTAAATTTAAATTTAATTTAAATTAAATTTAAATTAAATTTAATTTAAATTTAAATTAAATTTAAATTAAATTTAAATTCATTATTTGCTGCTGCAGCTTCTTTTTTATTTGCAGAACTTTTAGTCTTCCATCAGCACATAAAGCGGCTCATCATCTCTCTCTTGGGGAGCAGCAAGCTGCTGCTGCTGCTGCTGCTGCTGCTGCTGCTGCTGCTGCTGCTGCTCTTGCTGCGAGGGCTGCTGCTGCTGCTGCGGGGAAGGCTGCTGCAGCGCACGCTGCTGCTGGAGCCAGTGGGCATGCATTTGCTGCTGCTGCGGCTGCTGCGCGTGCTGCTGTGGCTGAATTAGCTGCGGATGCTGCTGCTGCTGCAGTAACTGGTGCTGCTGCTGCTGCTGCATGAACTGCTGCTGCTGCTGCAGCAAACGCTGCTGCATTAAGTGCGCGTGGGGCACAGGGCTGTGGGGATGCAGCGCAACAGGACTTTCCCGTTGCTGCTGCTGCAGCAGCTGTTGCTGCTGCTGCTGCTGCTGCTGCTGCTGCTGCGGTGAAGCCGCAGGCGCAGCCATTAGCGGCTGCTGCCGCGGATGCGCAGTAACTACTGGCTGCAGCGGTTGCTGCTGCAGCAACAGCTGCTGCTGCAGGTGCTGCTGTCGCTGCTGCTGCTGCTGTTGCAGCAGTAGCTGCTGCTGCTGCTGCTGCAGAAGCTGCTTTTGTTGAAGTTGCTGCTTCTGCTGCTGCTGCTGCTTCTGCTGCTGCTTCTGCTGCAGCTTTTGCTGCTGCAACTGCTCCTGCTGCTGCCGCGGCTGCGGTAGCTGCTGCTGTTGCTGCTGCTGCTCTCCTTGTGAGGGCCTCAGCAGCAACGCAATGTTATAAACCTTGAAAAGATAAAGCAAAACCCTAAACCCTAAACCCTAAACCCTAACTTCGAAACCCAAAACCCTCAAAGCAGCAGCAGCAGCAGCAGGACCAGTGCTGTCAAACCAGCATACAGCCACAGCAAGGGCTCTAGAAGCAGCAGCAACAACTGCAGCAGCAACAACTGCAGCAGCAACAACTGCAGCAGCAACAACTGCAGCAGCAACAACTGCAGCAGCAGCAGCAGCAGCATTAGCTGCTTACCTGCCCTGCTACTTCCACCTGCGCCGCTTCCATCCCTCTGAAGCAAGCTCCCTCTTCTGCAGCAAACCCTAAACCCTAAACCCTCGACTTTAAATCCTAAACCCTAAACCCTAAACCCTAAACACTGAATCCTAAACCCTAAGCCCCAGCCACTGCTGCTGCGGTTCCAGTACTGCTACTGCTGCTGTTGTTGCTGCTGTTGCTGCTGTTGTTGCTGCTGTTGCTGCTGTTGCTGCTGCTGCTGCTGCTGTTGCTGCTGCTGCTGCTGTTGCTGCTGCTGCTGCTGCTGCTGCTGCTGCTGCTGACCTGAATTGGGGGAGACACAGACAGCTGTGCAGTACTTCGAAAGCAAGTCATTTATCATCGACGGAACGTGTGGGGCGTCTGCAGCAGGCGCAGCCAAACCCTAAACCCTAAACCCTAAACCCTAAACCCTAAACCCTAAACCCTAGACCCTAAGGCCGCTAAGATTAGGCCGTCTCGTCTAGGGTTTACTTCTTCTGTTGAGGCTGAAGCTCTGGAAGGCAAGATTTGCTCTGCAGTTTGCTGTGCAGCTTTAGGGTTTAGGGTTTAGGGTTTAGGGTTTAGGGTTTAGGCCTACCGAAGTCCTGCAGAATACGCTTGGCCTCTGCCTCTGAAGACACTTCTCGCTGCAGCCTGCGAACAAACCCTAAACCCTAAACCCTAAACCCTAAACCCTAAACCCTAAACCCTAGGGCTTAAACCCTAAACCCTCTAAACCCTGCTTACAGAGCTTCTGTTTGTGCTGCAGCAGCAGTAATAAGCGCCACAGCTCTCGAGCTGCAGAGGCGGTTTTTCCAGCGAAGGCGCCCCATTCTGTAAACCCTAAACCCTAAACCCTAAACCCTAAACCCTAAACCCTAAACCCTAGACCTTCAGCCCTATGTTGCGGGGGGGAATCATTGGGCATGCGGCTTAAAACGGAGGGCTGCTGCAGCTCGGGCTCTTCCTGTTGCTGCTGCTGCTGCAGGTGCTGCTGCTGCTGCTTGTTTTCCCGCAGCAGAAGCGCCTGGTGCTGCTGTCGGTGCTGCTGCTGTCAGCAGCATTATTTGCTGCTGCTGCTGCTGCTGCTGCTGCTGCTGCCCAAGCCGTTGCCGCTGTTCTCGCCTCTCCTGCTGTCCACACCTCTGCTGCTGCTGCAGCTGTAGCGTTCACTGAATCCCTTACTCCCGCTGCTGCCGCTGCTGCTGCTGCTGCTGCCGCTGCCTGCTGCTGCTGCTGCTGCTGCTGCTGCTGCTGCTTCCTGGGGCGTTCGCGCCAGTGTTAAGGGGGCGCTGCAGCAGCTTTGGCGGGAGCGAAGAAGACTGAAACTAAATAAAATAAAATAAAATTTTGTTTTAATTCTTTTCAAATTAGGGTTTAGGGTTTAGGGTTTTACTCCGTCGGATTTGCCCGCCGTTTGGCTTTTTGGCGGCTGCTGCGCTGCTGCTTTCGGGTGTATAGGCAGCTGCAGCACCCAGCTGCTGCTCCGCGGCTTTCCCTCTACCCAGCACAACTCCTAATTACATTTAATTTATTATTTCCTTTAACTCATTAGTCTTTAGTCTGCTGCTGCTGCTGCTGCTGCTGCATGCGGTCTCGGTCTCGGGGCTTTCAGGGCTGAGGGCGCCGCTACTGCTGCTGCTGCTGCTGCTGCTGCTGGCCAGCGTCTCGAGCACTGCGTTTTTTCTTCCTCTTCGGCTTTCGGAAGGTTTGGCGTGACTGGGCGCCTTGGCAGCAGCTAACAGCGTCACGAGCAGCAGCAGCAGCAGCAGCAGCAGCAGCAGCAGCAGCAGCAGCGCAGCAACCCTCGCAGCCCTTCTTGCCGCGGCCGCAGCAGCAGCAGCCCCTGAGCAGCAGCACCGCAGCAGCGCGAAGCGCAGCTCCGTCCCCTCCCACCCCCCGCCCTGCCCCCGCAGCAGC